ATAATAATAAAATAATATTATTATTATTAATATTAAATATAAATATAATAATATTATTAAATATAATAATAATAATTATTATTATTATTATATAAATATAAATATAATAATAATAATTATAATAATTATTATTAAGATTTCCATGATTTTGAGATTCATGAGAATTTGAATAACACCATGTTGGGTGGTATTCAGATTACCTTAAAATGAGAGAAAGTGAATCTCATGATAATCACTTTCTTGAAAATCTAAATATTATAATTCTTGTACCAAACATGATAATATTACAGATTCTCATTCTCATCTTTAAGATTACTGCATATTAAACACCCCGTAAAGGTTGATAAAGAGGTTCAAATTGAATATTTTAATCTAGTGTGAGGTTTAAATTCAGAGAATCCAAGAGAGACTTGAGTTCATAAATCCTTCTCTTTCTTGAGAAGTTTTGAAATGTCATATCAAGTGCTCAAATTCCTTTTTAACTTTCCGTAAAACAAACACAAATTTAACATGAATATGAATTCAAACCCTTTAAACCCTTCCTCCAATCCAAACAATCCCGATATTTACCTTGATAAGGACAGCTAGTGAGGTCCACTAATGACTATGAATCGTGGGATTTTCTTCTCTAGGGTTTTGTGTGCTCAGCATTTTATCCAAAAAAAAAAAAGAAAAAAAAGAAACTCTCATCATTAATTATGATCCGTTTATTTCATTATTAGAATTTAAAATTTAAATTTTATTATAATAAAATATTTTAAAAAAAAATTACATTTAAATTTTTTATTATATTAAAAAAATTTCACTTAAAATTACATTTTAATTCAAATTAAAAATTCAAAACAATAAATTAAAAAGAACTAAAACATTCACATTGCTTTAACAACACGTGTATAATTTCGATTTAGAACGTGAATCATTGTTAGGCTATTAGCTACTAGCTGCAAGGATAGCTACTACATCGATGGTCATCAGCACACCTTTGACCTTCCACATTTTCATCGTTTAAAAAAGAAAAAAGCATAAAACTATTGACCCTCCTACTCTACAACCTCTATCCGTCCACTAAAGCCTATTTTATTACTCCACTTTTCTCCTACGTTTGTAAATTCCCATTTTCTTTTCTTCCAAAAATCCCATCAGTTTCAGGAACAATGGGGTCCTTCAACTGGGTCTCTTTGATTTCAATCATTTTCATGCTTGTAACAACGCCCATACTCTCTGCTTCCTCTCTCAGCTCAGATGGGCAGTCGCAAATTCCCTCAAAGTTCCTCAATTTCGCCAAGAAAGGGGAGGTTTTTGATTGGATGGTCGGAATCAGAAGGAAAATCCACGAAAACCCAGAACTGGGTTATGAGGAAATCGAGACTAGTAAGCTGATTAGAGCAGAATTAGATAAGTTGGGAATTCCCTACAAATATCCTTTAGCGATTACTGGTGTTACCGGCTATGTTGGCACCGGAAAACCGCCTTTCGTTGCAATTAGAGCGGATATGGACGCTCTTTCTATGCAGGTACAAGTTATTATACTGAAACTTGTAATTTTTATGGAAATTTTCCAGAGTGCACAAGTGGGTGATCTTCTTGAGACTTTAAATTGGTCATGAATATGTAGGGTGGGATTTTGGTAAACCAGAAATTGTTTAAAATTTGTCTTTTCTTGTATATATGTGAATGTAAAGGAGTTCTTTTTGAATTGGATTCATTTGATTCTGATTTTACAGGAAATGGTGGAGTGGGAGCACAAGAGCAAAATCCCTGGAAAAATGCATGCTTGTGGGCATGACGCTCACGTGGCAATGCTTCTTGGTGCCGCCAAGATCCTCAAAGAACATGAGAAAGAGTTACAAGTTTGTCTCTTCTCTCTCTCTCTCTTTTTTTTTTCTTTTTTTTTTTTGACCTTCCACAGTCTAGTGTTCTTATCTTGTTTGATAAATTTCCTGATTCAAATTAGTAAGAAAAGAAAATAAAAGTTCCTATATTCCTCTTACATGGTCTTCCGTGGTTGATGAATGCCTAGTATTGACATTAAAAGTGTGTTGTTTTGAATAGGGAACTGTTGTTCTTGTATTCCAACCAGCAGAGGAAGGAGGCGGTGGGGCTAAAAAGATGTTAGATGCTGGAACTCTAGAGAATGTTAATGCAATATTTGGATTGCATGTGGATCCTAAGTTAGCTTTAGGTGAAGTGGCATCTCGAAGTGGTCCAATGTTGGCCGGGAGTGGCTTTTTCGAGGCCGTTATAAGTGGAAGAGGGGGTCACGCAGCCCTTCCGCAACACTCCATTGATCCAGTACTTGCTGCTTCAAATGTCATTGTCAGCTTACAACATCTTGTTTCTCGTGAAGCCGATCCACTGGACTCGCAGGTACCATTTCCCATTAGTTTTTTCTTCTGTTCATAGCAACGAAGATTGCGTCTTTTAAGTTTTCGTATCCTTTTCTTTCTTTTTTGCTGCTTAGAAGTTGTATCTTTGATTGTGTGAGCTCGACTAACTTTGCAAATATTCTCAAGAAATTGATTCCTCATTCGGTTACTACATTCAACTATTTCTTTGTAATTGTTGTTCATTAGAGTTAAATTTAACTGGCACAATTTTATGCAGTTATTTTGTGGAAATTTTGACTTGTCTGGGCTATAGCAATTAGTGAAGAGCATGAGAAACTGCCAGGGGTGGTCAAGTTGTCTTTAAAAATAAATAAATTAAATAAATTCTCTACGATAATATTACTTTTTTTCGTCCTGTTAGTCTTGTTATTTGGGAACGTCCTGATCTTTGCTGCTTTTCTTTACGCATTTTGCTAAGAGCTTGAGTTCTGGAAACTATGAAAGATAACATTACTGATTTTCCATTCACAATTGAGGCCACTAAAACAGATTGTAAATCTGTAGGTAGTGACAGTTGCAAAATTTCAAGGAGGTGGTGCGTTCAATGTCATTCCAGATTCTGTTACGATAGGTGGTACTTTTCGCGCCTTTTCAAAGGAGAGCTTTATGCAACTCAGACACCGTATTGAGGAGGTACATCAACGATTAAAATTCTATCTTTTCCTCTGTTCTAAGATTGTGGTGATGAATAAAACTTGCAACAGCAGTTTTCAACAACGATTTTGTAGCAACTTCCCCGATTGTTTGGGAACTCAAAATACTCTTGCCTTTATGCATGATATATAGATTTGAAATAAAAATTGATTCTCATACAAATGACTTAACGACTTCTTTTCTTAGATTCTCAATAACAGAGCTACTTTTCCTTTGTTGCCACCATCTAAATAACTTAAATTATCTTTCGTCAATAGGTTATAACAGGGCAGGCCTCAGTGCAGAGGTGCAATGCTACTGTCGACTTCCTTGAAAATGAGAAACCCTTCTTCCCTCCGACCGTGAACCATGAAGACTTGCATGATTACTTCAGGAGGGTAGCTGGTGAATTGCTCGGCATACATAAAGTCAAAGACATGCAGCCGCTAATGGGATCAGAGGACTTCTCTTTCTACCAAGAGGCAATTCCGGGATACTTTTTCTTATTGGGAATGGAGGATAAGACCCTTGGAAAGCTTGAATCAGTGCACTCGCCCTTCTTCCAAATCAATGAAGACGTATTTCCTTACGGCGCGGCGCTTCATGCTGCGCTGGCTGCTAGCTATCTGTCCGAATTCCAACATGAGGTTCCTATACCGGAAGGAGAATATCATGATGAACTGTAGTCGGTTTTGTGGCTGTTTCTCAGAATGAAATGTACATCAGTGCAAAGAAAACTGAATGTGTTTTTTTTTTTTTTTTTTTTTTTTGGGTATTAGATTCTTTTTCATGATGTGGGTTTCATTGCTATTTTTCAGAATGAGTTGTACTTCAAATACCACTGAATCTTCGTAGTGTAAGATTCGTATCATGCATTCTGCATTAGTTGGTACTTTAGGGACTTTTTAAACTACGAACCAATACGATTACCGGATTTAGTCTTCGATTCCTTCTCAGGCTGGGCACAATATATGTATAACTGAGGATAGGAATTTGCATAGCGAGGTTTTAACCTTTCGAACCCGCTCAATGAGTTTTGCAGTTTGGACACGGGATATATATGATAAAAGTTGGTTATTGATAAAATGACGATTGAAAATATTCATGCTTTATGCCAAACTTTTTAAGAATTTATATGCTTTCGTGGCTGTCCAGAATTGTGGTATCTGGTCGGTGTTGGCTATAAAAGTACAACCAAAACAAAAACAAAAAACAAAAAAAAGAAAAGAATTCTTGCTGGCAAGCACCTCCCAATCCCCCATACAAAAGACGTCCACGAATTTGAAAGGCTTAAAGGTGATTCAATATAGAAAAATTACCTCAAAACGTTGGAAATAATTTTTAAAGAACTGATAAAAGAAAATACAGTTTAAAGTGAATTAATTTGAAACTTAAGTATAATATTTATGGTGATTTTGACTGAATAATTAATGTGAAATATAATAAGACTATAAGAGAGAGGATATAGTTTTCACAAAATGACATGTAAAAACTCTTTAAATCTTAACTGTTTTTTTTTTTTGACTAAATAATTAATGTGAAATATAATAAGACTATAAGAGAGAGGATTATAGTTTCACAAAATGACATGTACAAACTCCTTAAATCTTAACTGTTTTTTTTTTTTTTTTTGTTAACTGTTTATTGAACCACTGCATACTCTGCTACTGAATAATTTTTCCAAGAAAAAAAAAAGAGAATGCAAGCTATCTTTAGCTCACTTTCAAGATATTTTTGACTAAAAAGTAATGTGTGAATAAGCAAGAGAGTGAAGTCGGAGATATATAAAGGTTCAAAACTTTTCCACTCCAAGTACAAATATAAATAAATGAATAAATAAAAGCAAAGAAAGATAAAAAAAAAATGGTGTCCACTGAGGTCTCGTTCACTTCGCGGATTCGAGTTTTCAATTCGAGCTGAAATGTGACATTTTCTGAGAGCTTTTCACTGTAACAGAAAAAGTTAGATGTGATATTTTCTGAGAATTTTTTACTGTAAAAACTTAAAACTGAGGTATAGCAAAATCCAATATGTAACAGGACTAGTCCAGCGAGTCCAAATCCAACCCATCTTATCTGGACGGCGAATGTGCGAGTTCCTATCTAAGGCTGGATCAATTTAACAGGTTAAGTTTGAAGATTCGTTTGGTACGATGATTTAAATTAAAGTGATTTAAATTATTATTTTGAAATTAAAATTATGATTTATGATTTTGAGTTTAAAGTGTGATTCTAAAATTATAATTCAGAATTAGGGGTTTGAATTACCTTAAATTAAGAATGGGTAGTTTTAGAATTATAATTTGAGTTAGTTTAAAACATCACATCAGATTCTGAATCATGATTCGAAATCATCCAAACCAAATTCTAAATTATGATTCAGAATTACTGTAAACAAATACTTATCTGAACCAGGATCCAAAATTATGATTTTAGATCTATCTACCAAACACACCCTTAATTTTTTTTTTTATAGTATAATTTATTTTATTGAATTTGTTGCCCTTTTTATTTTTTTCCTTTTGAACTTGGAAGAAGTTTTCCTTTGAATTTTCAAAACTTATGGTCTCTAGAGAAAATAATCACACACAGTAACTTGACATTTGACATAAACAGTTGAGAACTACATTAACTGTTCATTAAAAAGTAAAAAAATTATTGATAGTACAAAAGAAACTCTCCGAATATTCAACTTAGCAAAATGTTGTTTTTGTATATAAACGACAGTAAACTTAATTATAGAACTACATGTAGTTATTGATAAAACGACAAAAAAAACTCTACCACTATTAAAACTGTCGTGTTTCACACAAACGACAAGAACTAAGGATCTCGAAGGAAATGTCTCGGCAGAGATGCAAGAACGGGCTGGCCCGGCCTGTTTTCCTTAGACCCACCCGGGCCGTAGGTGCTGAACGGGCCGGCCCATAAATTTTATGAGCCGGGCCGGGCCGGCCTGTATAAAAATGACATCGGCTCAGTCCACACCACGGGTTAATTTTACGTGGGCCAAGCTGGGCCATGCCGCGGGCCAGGATGGGCCGTGTCATGTGTCTTGAATGGGCTGACCCACTTAAGACCCATCATGGATTTAGATGGGCCAGCTTATCTAAGCATGTAATTTTTAATTTTTAAATTTTTAATTTTAAATTTTAAATTTTTAAACAAGTTAACAAATATATAAGTTTGAATAGTCAATGGAAATATGAAAATTGATATTTTATTTACGATTACCTCATTAAATAAAAATATTTCTAAAGAAAACTCAGTGAGACAAAACCTTAATAAGAAAAAAAAGTACAATTAAAATAATTATACATAAGATGTTTACAAAATTACTAAAAAATGAAAAAAAAAACATGATGATATTATGGGCCTAAATAGGTTGGGCTGGGGTGGCCCATTATGGGCCTAGACGGGTCGGGCTAGGTTGGCCCATCATGGGCCTAGACAGGTTGGCCCAAGCCCAGCCTGTCCCATGATTTTTTGTGGATCGTGCCGGGCCGGCCCATGGGCCGATATATGTTTATAGGCTGGGTCGTGCCTTGAACAGTGACGGAGCGTGCCGGCCTAGCCCGTCACTGTGTCAGGATGGGCCTAAGCCGGCGCACGGACCCCGGCCCATTGTTGCATCTCTATGTCTCGGTGTCCTTCGTTAACTCAACGACAAAGATATTGGTGCAATTTAATGCAACGTTATACTCTCAGTAAACAACAGTCAACTTTTCAGAATAAATAGCGTGTCGTATAGAGAAAATAAAATAATAAAATTACGGGTGCACATTTTTTTTTAAATACGGGTGCACTCTTTTTAGTCAAGTACTATGTTTCTCTTTGAACTTTTAGGACTTAACAATTTACACCATAAATTTTAAGTTTTTAATAAATCACCCTTTTAATTTACTAATAATATTGTGACACGTCTCATTTAATTAATAGTTATGTTTAATTAGTGATAAAAAAATATATTCGACAAGAAATTCCAAAATATCTATTTAAATTGTCCCGTAAATCTTTTAATATCTTAACTCTTAATCACTTAAAACTGATCAAAATCTAGTAAACTCGTAAAATAAACTCGTTGCAACAGTTTAACAAGTTGGAGAGTTAAATTGCCAAAATTAAATTTCAGGAGTCAAGTTGTCAAGGTCAGAAAAGTTTAGGGGCGAACTTGTCAAAAAACCTTTTAGGCAATGATCTGTATGTAATATTCGCGAGGTGGAAGAACCCTTCCCATCCTGGCAATTTGAAAGTTTTTTTTTTTTTTTTTCTTTTTTGAGAAAAAAAGGGTACTAGGGTTTTGCAGTATTATAATTACCACATAAGACCACCTTCTTATGCTGACGGCTCTCACGCTCTTTCCGAAATCTAGAGCTCTGCAACAAAACTCTATAGCTTAAAGTTAGAGGTTATTATTCGCTCAATCTGTGCGTATCTTAATTATCAGATGAATTCTTAAGGGAATTAATGGTGTTTGATCTGGTGTGATGTGGTGCAGGGTAGAAGGAGATGGCGACGGTACCAGGGCAGTTGATTTGGGAGATCGTGAAGAAGAACAACTCTTTTCTCGTCAAAGAATTCGGAAATGGGAACGCAAGCGTCCAGTTCAGCAAGGAGAGTAACAACCTCTACAACCTCAACTCCTACAAGCACTCTGGTAATCACTTCCTTCAAATTTTGATTTTTCTTTTTCCCGATGAATTGGTTCGAGGTTTTTTCTTTTTTGGCATTTTCTTTCCTCTTTGGGCTAATTTAAGTATTGACATTAATATAATGTTTGTGAAAATTATGAAAAAGATGACTTTTGTGCTGAATGACCAACTGAGTTATTATTATTTTTTTTTTTGAAGTTGAATAGAACATTTCAGAATCTTTGTTTTGGAACGTTGGTCTAAGTGAGGGATTGCATTTCTCAAATCATTGAAAATGAGATGAGTTGCAAAGTTAGTTTGGTTTTTTGATGTATTCTCAGTTAACTAATTGGATTCATCGTTTAGGATTGGCAAACAAGAAAACTGTCACCATTCAACCTGTTGGTAAAGACCAAGCTGTGTTGCTTGCAACAACAAAGACCAAGAAACAAAACAAACCTGCTGCTTTGCTTCACAAGTCTGTTATGAAGAAGGAGTTCCGAAGAATGGCTGATGCAGTTGCGAACCAGGTATGTTACAGGTTCTATTTAGTGTTGATGTATATTGTTTGTTTTTGTTCTTCATGCATTATTCTCATACATAGTGTGCTATCCATTTGTCTTTGCCATCAAAATAGAATCTTTATTTTCGAACCGTTGAATTGTTAGTTTAGTCTGCAGTGATGAGCCTCTAACATGTAAGAAGAGCCTCAAACACGGTTTCTTCTATGAAATACACTTGTTACGCTTGGCTTCTGAGCGCGTTCACATTAGCACTATGTTCTTGAGCTTAACGTTTCTGATTGCATGTTTTTATGAAATTGGTAACCTTTCTTTTAGGATAATTTTGTTCAATCGAACATTATTTTTCCAAGTTTTCTATGTGTAGGATTTCGTCAAATTGCTTTGACTGCTGACTTAATGTCACGTTTTGAAATTACTGCTTACTTGCAGCACTCTGCCGTCCTAACTGTCATTTCTCTGTGCAGGTGGGAGATAACTACTATAGGCCGGATTTAAAGAAAGCAGCTCTTGCAAGGTTGAGTGTCGTGCGCAGAAGCCTCAAGGTTGCGAAGTCTGGTGTCAAGAAAAGGAACAGACAGGCTGTGAAAGTCCGTGGTAGGAACTGAGAGATTGATTAATTGTTTTGCTTCTTTTACTTTGACATTCCCAAGTTTTGAATTTAGATAGGAGGATCCAAACCGTGTTTTGGATTTTGCTCACCTGTAAGTTTTTGGATAATGTTGGAAAAAAATTATATTATTTATTTTTAATAGCAGGATTTTTGTTGTGTGCATGTTTTATTTTTACATACAAATCTTGTCACAACAAGGGCGGCAGAAGAAGTTGGACGGAGGGGAGAGAACGCAATTTAAAACAAAATTCTTATTCCAATAACTACATAAGTTTGACAATGTCGGTGACACTTGGAATTTGAAAGAATTTGAGTTTAAAAATTTTTTCTCTCATAAAATTTTCGTTAATGAATCAAAATTACTAACTTGAATGTGTGAACTAAATAGATGTTTAGATTTTTGCACGGTATCATTAACCATGACTTTAGAATGCGGGTTTTTAAAAAGGCAAAAGTTTTACTTAGTTACAACTGAGAGACAATTGAGCACTCCCTTCTCCCCTATATTGATGGTGCCATGCCGCCACGGTCGTTACTCCCCCTGCTTGCGCGCAAGGTTAGCCTCCTAAATTAGTCTATAGTAATTAGAAAAACAAATTTTAAAAAAAAAGTCTCTACAGCATTATTCAATTTTTTATAGACAAGAACTGCGTAAAAAACGAAAAATAAACGGTTTTTTTTCTTTGTTAAAAAAAAAAAGTCCAAACACGATAATTCTCAAATGCTTGAAATATATAAAGAACCATCATTTCTTCTACTAAGTGCAATCATGTTCTTTGTTCACATAATTAACTTGGTTTAAAATTACAGCTTACTTGTCTATAACGAAGAAGAATTAAAATTGTTAAGGAAATTAGAGAAGTAGGTTCATTCGAGAAAACAAGAACCTTCACCTTCAAATAATAATTGTTGACACTTCAATATATCTCTACCTTTTAGATTAAAAGTAATCAATAGATAAAATTTTTTAAAAATGATATTTTTAATAAGTCAAGTACTTAAACAGATAGAATTTATAATTTTCTCAAGGGAGAAACATTAAAGTAAGTAAAACAATTTTTGAAAAGAATTTAGTTTTAAAATCTGAAGTTAAAAAAACATTTCCCGAAATTTGGGTACCCAAATTTACTCTTAAAATGATTTTAAAATTTTTTTAAGATTAAGTCATCATAAGTAACAACTCAGTAATTTGGGTTGTTACACAAAGCACATAGGACCCTTCCAGAAGTCACAAGGAAAAACATGCGACATAAATTTAGCACTATAGATTTTAAGACTTTTAAAATAGGGTGTAAATGAAACTTTTTAAAAATCCTAAATCCTAAATAAATTTAGAATTACAATTTTTAAAACCTGAAATTAGAAACTTAGAAAAAATGGAAGATATTTAGGTAATATGCCATAATTTTTAAAGTTAGATTGATTTTTGACCTGAGTACTAAAACTATTATAAAATATACTGCAGTGATATTATTTTAGTTTTGTGTAGAGCAAAATTATACTCGTACTTTTATGTATTTTATTTAGCATATTTGGATTTTGTGAAACTTTTGTGGTTTTTATTTATATATTTGTGACTTTTATAGATTTTACGATTTTTAAGTATCTTCAGCTGTGACATTCTCTGCAATAGTTTATGTTTGTTGGCATATGTCAATCTGAGCCTAAAACTTGTGGTGTTCCTATAAAGTGCTCGGTAAACAATAGGGGCTCATTTATTTTATATACTCAAACACAAATCATTAATTCTACTATAGCATTTTCCTCTCACAAAAAAATTTAAATTTCAAATTTTAGAATAAAAAATCATGGTTTGAGTATACCTTCCAACCGAGCCTTAATTTTTTTTTTTTAAAAAAATAATATTAAAGGGCCACTTGTGCGCAAAGGGCTATAACCCAAGTGGCATTGTCTTTGTGTCTATTAGATCTAAACGCCCGACCGATCTTGCAATAATTAGAAGACTGATAACATGATGAGTGTAGGGACCACCACGATATTTAAGGAAGGAGATTCTTTGGAGGCCACAAGGATGATCTCGGCCAAATCCTACATCAAAGGGTCAAATCAGATCAATAATAAACATGAAATATCCCAAGAAGCCAATATGGAAATAAGGAAAGGGAAAGTCAACTGAAGGAAAAGGAAAACTATTAAATCTGAGAGAAAAAGAAACTAGAAGGTCATCTCCTATAAATAAGGGATGAGAATCACGACCAATATATTCCAAACTCCTCATATTACTCTCAGACTCTTCTCTCTAAATTCTCTCTCCTCCTTCTTCTCCAATTCTCACAAAGCATTGTAATTGTACTATTTTCATTACATAGTGAAACTCTCGAGACCCCTCAGTGGACGTACCTTGAGATTATCAGGGGAATCACTATACATCCGTGTGTAAATTTATTTTCCAACACTTTACATTCTCGTTCTAGTGATATATCAACTCAAATCGACTCACCAACGCGATTAACTTCGAGAGCGGCCAAATATATATATATATAATAGAAAAATAAAACACTACAAATATTAAAAGAAAGGATTATAAGATCCTTTCTTTTAATATTTTATGTTGGGTATTATATGTTGCTCGGGTGTTCTGAAGTAAAAATGGTGAAATTAAATTTAGATGGTTTGAGGAGTGCTAATTGTTGTTAAGACCAAAACAGCGATACATGATGCTTATTAATTATGAAATGGAACTCTATTTAGTAACACTTTAGGACAGTAAGCTTAAAATAAAACCATAAAACTAGAAATATTTGCAAGTCAAGCACCACTTTATGATGGGGATGTTTTAATAAATGGGCCTTGTCTTTATTTGTTTGGAACTATACACAAACTATGCACAAGAGCGGAGATGGAAATTGAAGCATTGGAAGCCATTCTTATGGATGTTTCAGAGGTGTACTATTTACACATTATTATGTATTAGTAGAGCTCAAGTTGTTATTATTGTCTGAATCCTTTTCAATAAGAAAAAAAAAAGTTTGTATTATCGGCCTTATTTTCATAACTACACGTAATGAACTACTTTTTTTGTTTGGTTTTTCATCCCAGAAATCCACTCAAGAGAAAGTGGGTTGAAAACTGCCAACAGGTGCTTTCTGAACATAGTATCTCCACAGATATGCAATAAATATGTATATATATATATATTAACTAACGTATTGGTATACTGTAGGATAAGATTATAATAGTTGCAGATATTAATCACTGGTTGTTTAAACATTCCATTTTGCTTATAATGGTTAGGTAAAGAGCAGAGCTAGGGGCAGATAATGTTAATGTCCATGCTGAGCGTGAGGGACACAAAGGTGTTGAATTGACTAGTGCACATAATTCAAATTTGGGCATGAGTTAGAAAGAGGTTTTAAATTTTATCCATCAACTAAGGATGCCACTCATTTCCCTTCTGCAATATGGCTTAAAATGACTGAAATTCTCCTTAAATGTATCTTTCTGCTTTCTAAACGTCTATTGCAGTTCAGTTGGGAAAAATATCCTGATGATCCTCCGCTTAGAAATGTTAGAAGGCAAGACCAACTGTTCACATCAAGTTACTATTATTATTTGCTCTAAATAACATGAGAAAATTGAGGGAAAAACTTTCACTGCTTTTTTACTAGTTTGACAAATATCATTTCAAAGTTGCTAACTATAATAATAATCTATGTAAAGAAATATACAAACAAGAAAAGTTCTAATTTAATTTTCAAAGAGAATTAGGCTCGTTTATTTCACTAATTCGAGTTTAGAATTTGAGTTTTATTACAGTAAAAAACTATCAGAGACAGTCACATCTAATTTTTTATTACAGTAAAAAACTCACATTAAAAACTTAAATCAGTAAACTAAACGAGCCCTTAGAGATCAACAATTCACTGGTCCTCACAATTCCATTACAATTTCCAACGTCATGCTGATGATAACTCTCTTCTAACAATACCTTGCTCTCGTGTTGTTTTGAATAATTGCTGATGAGATCTCATTATGGTTCTCCCAATGATGGGTTGTTTTTTTTTTTTTTTTTTCCTTTTCTTTTCTCTTCTTTTTCCTCCCATTTGCTGTCTTCAGTTTACAAGGAATACACACAGAATAAGAATATTAAAAGAGAAGCTTCAAGAAGAGGTATTTTACAATCTTTTGCTCGCTTCATATATCTACTTGCATTTTAATTATACAGTAGAAGTACTCTCGTGAACTTTTGTTATTAATGTACTTGAAGGTTTTTCATTTAACTGAAGTTTAATCTCTTAGAAATTAAACAGCTTGTAATTACTATTAGGTGATTGGTAAATGTTTATGTATGTACTACAAAGGAGTGTACAAGTAGAGCCCTAAAAAATATGATGTAACGCTGTCCAAATAATGCTGATTCTAATTGGTTCTTCTTATCTCTTTGTACTAAAGCTCTAATGCAATGGTTTCTAGTTCAACGTTCCAACTAGACCCCATAAAATTTACTTACAAAAAATGCTTGGTAAACACATGCCAGCAAGTCTGTATACAGAATGGCGTTATCATTTTCATGAATGTACATAGCATGCAGACTAAGATTTTCTCAGCAATCTATCCTATTTACCCAACAGAAATTCTTCTTCTTTTCTGTTTGTTCTAAAGCTCTAATGCAATGATTTCTAGTTCAATGTTCCCACTAGACCCCAAAAAATCTACTTACAAAAAATGCTTGGTAAACACATGCCAGCAAGTCTGTAATGACGTTATCATTTTCATGAATGTACATAGCAGACCAAGATTTTCTCATAAATCTATCCTATTTACCCGACAGAAACTTTGTTCTTCTACTTCAAAATGCGAAAGGTTTCTATTGGGTAAAAATATTTATTAATATTGAAATAATATCTTACACATAACATAATTTTACTTATATTAAGATTTAATTAGTATAAGAGTTTATTATTTTTAGTTCGACTCATTCAATATTATAAGAAGAACCTCTTAATTACAATCCCTTAGTACAAGGGAAAACCTTTTGATTCTAATTAAAATAATAAATACTATTTTTTTTTTTTGTGAATTTGAGAAAATTTGGTTGATTTAAAATTGCGGCTAAACTCAGTGAATTTTGTCGAGTTGCCTACATACCCCGTTAAGAAATAAGTCACTTGTAGTTCGAATTTTAGGTTTTAAAAAATTAGATAATTCCCCGGTGTATGACCTAATTATGAGGAATTGACGCACTTTGAAATTTGATTTAGTTTAGTTTTAATTTTGTCTTTTATGAGGATTTTTTGAACTGCACCTAAATTTTAGATTGCCTACATATCCCATAGGGAATCAAGTCAATCGTAGTTCTTGAATTTGAATTTTTGATTTTGGAGAATTTCCTTGTATATGACCATATGAGAAATTCAAGGACATTTAAAAGTTTGATTTGGAATTTTACTTTAGAATTTAGATTTGAAAGTTATATTTGGATAATTCCCTGGTATATGACCTTATAGGGAATTAAAATGATCATTTTTGAATTTAGTGTTGAGATTTTTTTTTATTTGAATTTAGAATTTGCAAATTGTATTCAATCACCATATGATTTTATGAGACAATAAGCTCATCTTTTTTAGCTAAGAGACCATAAAGGAGCCTACTTTGTGCATTTTAAATATTTGGGTATTTAATATTCTGAATTTCTTTAAAATTTATCTTTTATCCCTTATCTTTTTTTAAATTTTATCATCTTCAAACCAAACCGATTAATTCAATTGTATAATATATATCTTTTTTTTTTTTTTTTTTACTGACAATTTAATTTCAAAAGAGATTTGGATTTCGCTCATCCCTTCTACACGGTTTTTTTTTTTAGTTGGAATATATTTGGATGTATATATATACATGTGAGCCATTATTCATAACTCCTATTGCAAACATCACAGCAAGTATAGCTTGCAGTCGTCATAGCAAGTACAGCAAGTACAGCTTACAATCATCACAGCAAATTTAGTGTGAGCTTTTGGTGTGTATATGTGTGTGTGTGTGTGTATATATATATATATATATATTGGTGTTTTGTGAAGATATTGAGAAAAAACTGAAGGTGACGGCTTGTTTGTTCTTTTTTTTAATATCTTCATTGTTTGTTGCTTTTCGGTGGGTATCATACTATTTATATGAATATTTTCATATAGATTATATGCACATAATTTTTTATATACCGATTTTGAAGGTGTAATTCGTACGAATTTTTCGTTCGAATTGCACTCAAAAGGTGTATCTTAACAATTTCTGACCTTTTTTTTTTTGCATATTGCTCCTTTTTTTCCCTCAGCAACAATTAATTTTTCTTTGTTTACAAATAATTAGGTGCATTCCTCTCTCTTTTTTTATCCTCATTTGTACATGTGCAGCCGTCCTTTTTCTTTTTCATTCTGGTTATATATATATATATATATATATATATATAACTAACTGTTGGTGCGGAAGAATGACAAAAATATCAAAATATATATTTATCTTATTATTTTGAAATACCGTACTGCACTTCTAAGGATGTATTTTCTTTTTTTTTTCTCACGTCACTATCACCTGCACACATACTTTTTATTTTTCTCTCACTTTTCTTCCACACACCTGCACACACAATTTTTTTTACTGCACACTCTTTTACCTTGCTGCACACACCAACGCCAACGCCTATGTCTCCAGAAAAGGTTTTCTTCTTCTTTTTTCGCTTGCTTCTTTCTTTATATAAGAGAATTCCGTAACAGTTACTTTCCTCTTTTTTGGCCATTACTCTACGTTCTGAAACGTGCGTATTTGATGCACCCTTTTGCCATCACTCCAGTTCTAAAATGTGTATATTTAATGCCCTTTTTTTTTTCTTCTTTTTAGTTATATTGATTAAGAACAGGGAAGAAGTCTTCAGGATTTCGATAAATCTATTAAGTTGCTGTTCAGAGTGTCTATAGATTTCGATAACCGAGGTAAACCTTTTGTTTTCCTCGGACTAAAAGGCATATTTTGAATTTACTCTTTAAAAAAAAAAAAAAAAGGTTTAGGAGATGTTTGGTTAGAGGATTCAAACTATGATTTGAATCATAGTTCAGGGTTCGCTACAGTGTTTTTTCTCACAAAAAATACATATAAATTGAAAATAATTCTAATAACATGATTTTAATCGATGAACTAAACGTCTCCTTAATGTTTTCTCTGATTGAGTTTCTGATTCTTCAAGATGTGTATATACACACACATATGTCGGTTTGTGTTTGTGTGTGAATGATTGTCCTTCTTTTTTCGCGAATAAAAATAAATAAACTCTTTGCGATAAAAGAAAAGTACATTAATCTTCCTTCCATTAAAAGTTAAAAAAAATGTCAAAATTAAATGGTGGGGGTCCTGAGTGTACAAAAAAAAAAAAAAAAAAAAAACCTTAGGTACATAGTTCAACTTTATTATTTATTGACGATTTTTTTTTTTCGGTGAGCTCTTTAACAAAAAAAAAAAAAGTTAACGTAAGGATTAAGCAATCTTTTTATAAACTTGGGATCTAAACTTTATGATTTCAAATATTGAGAACCCCAAATACCAAGAGTTAAAAAATTGTGGACGTTCCGCGCAAAATTTCCCATTTTAAACTAGGAAAACTTGGTTGCCATGTTTTTTTTTTCTTTTATAGTCAGATTTTTATTATTATCTTTTATAGTCTGATTTTTATTATTATCTTTTAGCGGATTTTTCTTTGTACTCAATGAATTTTTTTTCCACGTCATATGGTTATCCCCTTTTTTTCAATTTTTGAACTTTTTTTCAATTTTTGAATTCGGTAGTGTCTCTTTTTCTTCACGTATTTTAGGGGTTGTTCTTTTATAACAAAACTAACAAAAAATTTAAATTCAAGTAACAATTTTATTTAAGTTCACGTTATTTTAAGTTCTAATTTTATTCAACTTTATTCAAGTTATAACTTTAACTCAAATTATAATTCAAATTCAACTCAAAAATTATACACAAATCACACTACAAAAGAACATGTCCTTAATTTTCTGGGATATCTTCCTTGGTAGACGTTATTCTTTTGGGACATCACACAAACCAAAGTCTTGTAGGATTGAAAAAGCAGTTGCGAACGTGCGTCACACAGAACGAAAGTCTTGAAACTCTAGAGAAATACGAATCCTTGTCTACTTGAGTAACAAAAGTCTTGTAGATAATAAGCCTCGTACGCGGAACAAAGACTATAAATTCGAGAGGAAGTGTGAAGCGAAGTGCTGAAAATCCATCAAGGTATTATTCAGAGTGTTTATAGATTTTTTTTTCCTCCAAAATCAAGAAGACCGCGATCAGAGTTCTGTTGATTAAAAACAGGGAAGAAGTCTGCAGAATTTTAATAAATCTATTTACTGTTTAGAGCGTTTATAGATCTCGATAACTGAGGTAAACCTTTTGCTATCCTTGGACTAAAGATGCATATTTTGAATTTACTTTTTTTTAAAAGGATTTAATCTTTTCTCTGATTGAGTTTCTGATTCCTCAAGATGTATATATATATATATACACACACACACACACACACACATATGTCTGTTTGTGTTTGTGTGTGTGAATGCTTGTCCTTCTGTTTAGCTTGGATGGACGATGAAATCGATGATATAGATAGAGTCTCTGGCTTACCTGATTTTCTCCTGCATCGGATATTGTCTTTTCTCCCCCGAAAAGATGCGAACCAAACCTGTGTCTTGTCTAAACGATGGAATTATATTTGGGATACCTCCCCTGTATTTGACTTCGATCAAGATATTTATATACCCGACCCTATCGCGTTTACGCCAAAGTATAGGAAGCAAGCTCGGGAATTCATAAACTTTGTCGACAAGTCTTTGCAGAGATTCAGTTGCTGCAATTTGTTAATGGAGAAATTGGAGCTACGCATGCGTCTTATCGAGCGTAACCATTTTCCAATGATTGATCAATGGCTAGCATTATTTCTTAATCTAGATAGTGGAGTTCAAGAGATGCGCCTGATGGTCAAAACAGGTTACTCAGATTATGATGATGATGATGGTATCTACACTCTTCCTAAGACGACATTTGTGGCCAAATCAATAAGTGGTCCTTCCAAGTTGGATCGTCTTCAAAAACTATCACTGGAGTTCGTTAATATAAGTGAATCAGTTATCCAGAATATTGACCGTAACTGTCATAATCTCAACTATCTTTATCTTCAAAATATTTGTGGACTCAAAACTCTCCAGATTTCCAAACTTAACAAACTTGAGACGGTTACCATTGTTAGTACCGGATACTTGCGTGACCTTGAGAGCGTCAATATTGATGCACCAAATCTTAAATACTTCCGTATAGATGCAAATGGTCCTAAGTGTTGCATCAGTTTGAATTCATGCTATAATTTGAAAGAACTACGTTTAAGTGGTTGTGGGATCACCGATGACTTATTGCATTGGTATCCTTCTAGATTTCCCTTCATTGAAGTTCTTGAAATTTCCAATTGCAGCTTGTTGCGAAAGTTTGAGATTTCTGCTCAGCGCCTTAAGAGACTTCGACTCTTTTTTGGATGTCTTGGTGTTGAGAGGATTCAAGTCAATGCTCCAACCTTGTCAATATTTGAATGCATGACTTTTAATAAGCCTGTCTTAATTCCAGAGAATGTCCCATGTCTCATGAAAATTGTTTATGCAATGCATAGAGTTGCAGATAGTTCTTGGTTCTCTGAGTTAAGGAAATCTCTCGGACATCTGCCCCAGAGGAAACTCTTCACTGTGGAAATTCATCCCTGCAAGGCAAGTACTTATGCCAGTTTGTCCCTTTTCTCAAATATATACGCATGCTTATGAAAAAAAAAAACGAATGTCTTGTTGTTCTTGTGTAGTTTCTTGCATTTTTTTTATTGACATGTTACTGGTTTGTTGGTTGAAGATTAATTTTAATCTTGAAGAGTTAAGAAAAGGAGAAATCCCTCCGCTGATTGAAATCGATCATCTAGTGTTGATTTGCTATATCAGTGCTCCAATGAATTGTACAGCTCTTATCGATGGGGAGTTGTCATCCAAAGATATTATCAGTTCCCACACATTAAATGCACCAAAAAGACTGCATATGATACGCCCAACCTGCAAATTATAAGGACAAATGAGCGAATCTCCACTCTCCGAGCGAGTGTCAGCTCCCAAGAACAGAATATCAGCAAGGGGAAGAAGAAGAAGAAGAAGGAATTAGATAGAAAATAGAAGGGAAAGGAACAGAATGAAAGGATCTCTAGTTCATTGATACCCAATAATGTTCCTCTCAACACAACATATACCCCTCCTCGGTAAACCCCGAGCCAGAGGCGGATCTCCCCATAAAACAGAAATCAATTACAGCAATTGAAAGAAAAACAGAAAAATGAATCCAGGAGCTTCCATCACTCCCGAGGACTAACGCCCTTAACCATGCATACGACACTCTTCCCACTCAAACGACATAATCTCCTAACCACGTAGGAGGCCTTCTAACCCGGGTTGGGCCTTTTGGTGTTTCGTTGTTCCTCAACTTAGGTTGGCCCTCCTTTTCTGTCTCGCCCGTTTCTAGGCCTTCCTCTGGTAATTCCGAATCAATGGGCTGGGTCGTATCAGCATACAGGTATGGTTTTTACTTTTTTTTTTTAAACTTATTTTGCTAGTAAATGGCAAAATACATATTTTTTAGAACGTAATGTCAAACATGATTATCTTTGATGCATTATAATTTATACCTAAGCATTACATTTGTCTCGTGCTTGGTAGGTGGAAGAAACAAATATTTTTACTTAATTATTATTCATATTTTGATGCATATAGTTGGTGTTTACCTTGGAATTTGGACAATATCCCTGAGCATTGTGTTTAATGAATGGTTTAAGGAAACCATAAAATTGGGATAATTTATTTATTTTTATTCATTTTTCTAGGGTTTTTCAGTTTCAAACTCGGGTTCACAATGTGAGTTTATATAATATGTATATATTTATATATTTAGTATACTTTTCTGTGTGATTTTATAATATGTATATATATATATATATTTAACATGCTTTTTTATGTGATTTTTACACGAAAGTTTCTTGCTTTCTTGATTTGAAGGGATATGTTATTAGTAAAGTCCCACATTTGATAAGAAGTTGTCTGGTCCTTCGGATATTTTCCTTGACAATATATCCCTTCCAAAATATGTGATCTATCTAAGTTTTATGGACAAGTCTATCGATTGGACATATGTCAATAGATACTATATGATGTACTTTAACAAAGCTCATCATTAGGGAAAAATAACAGTTTAACGGAGATTAAAGAGTGGGGTCGGGCTCCGCTTTAGTTTGTTTGTTTGTTTTCTTTCTTTCTTTTTTTAAGTAAATAACAATTCTTTTGGGTCGGTTAGTTAGTGAAAATTATTATTGTTAATGTTTCTTTTTGTTTTTTAAATAAAATTTTTTGTTTTGCCTTGTAGGTTCTTCGTGAGAAGTTATTGGATAGAAAACACTCGAGTTGTTGTGGTTCTTCCCATATAAAATGTTGGCGTCACCATTTAAAAAATGTGAAGATGGAGAGAATTATAGAGGATGATCGGCTTCTTCGCTCATATCGTTTCTTATATTCATTTTTGTCACTTAAAAAAAATCGAGTAGTACGCTTCAAGTTGGAGTGGGAATTTTAAAACTTGATGCTTAAACTATTTGGAGTAATTATAGTAGTTAGTTTATTTATTTGATTTAAATATGCTTTTTGATTTGGAATGAGAAACTTAACAGTTTGAAATTAAATATGCATTTTTCATTATACTTTTATTGTTTTTTTAAGGGAATATTTTATTAATTTTTGGTACGTTTCATTTATGATTGATACAAAAAATAAATAAATAGAATATAAGTAAATGCTTTTACTTCTATTGTTTTGTCGCCGGCACCACATATGTGATCTGTCTTTTTTAATTTAACTAATAATACTCAAATTAAGAAATTAAGGAGACGTTTAGTTCATGGATTCAGAATCATAATTCAGAATCATAATTCAGAATCATGATTTAGAACTCAGTTTACGTGTGTTTTTTGTGAGAGAAAACATTGTAGCGAGTTACGAATCGTGATCCAAACCATGTCACAGATCTAAAAAATAATAATTTGAAGCGCAAAAAACTCTTCCATCTCAACACTTATTCTGAAAATGGCTAAGGGAACTATATACCCGACAGAAACTTTGTTCCTCGACTTCAAAATGCAAAAGGTTTCAATCATATCAATAGCTTGTTGATAATTAAGCCACAGAAAGTTGTCATTAGAATTCATCAGCAAAAAACCAAAAACTAGTCATATATATCATACATTCCCAACTTCACGAGACCAAGTTGTCTTAGGCAACTGAAGATGGAAATTGTGTGGATCAAAGGTAACATTGAAGTGGTTAGTTGCAAACTGAGTGCATGTGTCAGCAAACCTAATGGTTGAACCAGATTGTTGCGAATGCAAACCTGTCACACGGGCAGCAAATTGACTTGGTTGAGTGTTCTCTGCTCCTCTTTCTGGTTTATAAGAATTTTTCTTGCATGTTTCCCTGTTATGTCCAAGCTCATTACAAATGCAGCATCTTTTTCGATTACCAGTTGCTTGTCTTACATCCTTCGTATTCTTCAACCTGTTCTTCTTTTTCTCACTTCCTTTCGTTTTTGTCGGAGATGGGGTCTCTAATAACGTTACGTCTTGCAATAACTTCCTCATCAAAACATGGCACCGCCGTACTATTTGATCCCTGTCTCTGATTGAAAAGAGCCTTAAACTTCTCTGTTAATCTTCCAATTTCATGTTCTGCTTCTGCGAAGGTGTCTGCAAATTTGCAAGCATAGTAGGAGAGGGAATTGTAATCTGATGCCATAGCCTCTAATCTTGTTGTAACTTCAATAACATCAGGCGGAAGTAGTGTTGACAAAGGAACGCTTAGATCGACGACCATCTTTGCATCTTGTCGCCACCTTGGTTTCATTAGAGAGTCAAGAATACGTAGAATGCTCAAGTGTTTCATAACCGCAAAGATATGACAACAGGGGATACCATCAGTTTCGAAAAGAAAGCAGCCACACCAAAGGTGATTTTGAACGGGCGAGTATCTAACTTGATGGGGTACCTCTCCAAACCCAAACTTTGACAATTTAAAAATCTTGTAATCGTTAGTGTTATCGCAAGAGGTAACGGAGTGGGCATTTTGGTTACATATTTCTTTTGCGATGAGGTTGTAGATTGTCCTTGTTAACGTGGAAGCGACCTGGCGGTAGTAGGAGTTGAGAGGGTCAGATTCTAGAATTTGTGGTGAGGTGTGTCTACTGGTGAAATCATCATGCATTTCAATATACATTTTGTATTGCCGCATCTATTTGGCAGATAAAGTCCCGCATCAGGTGCTTACTATCAAGAAAGGGCCTCATATATGAGTTCATGGACTCACACCATTGAGTGCTACGCATGCCTCCAAAGAAATGACCTCGCAAGAAGGTTTCGGCCCAACTCCCCCTATTTGCATACAATGTCCCTGCCCAGTCATTGTCTTGTAGGTTGAAATCTTGTATTGGTTTTCTCCATATATCTTCAAACTCAGGCTCGTTGTAGTAGTTGTACACCAATTTGCTGAACTGAATTTTGAACTCTCCATTGGAGACATTGTTTTCTGCATCAGTCTCCAGATGCCGTGCACAAAGACGATGGATTGAGTTCGGAAAAACCTGTGATATAGCACTTCTCATGGCATCGTCTCTGTCACTGAGGATGACTTGTGGATGCTTATTGTTCATGCACACCAAGAACTGTTCCAAAACCCATGTCAAAGTCGATGTTGTTTCATCCGATAGAAGGGCGACTCCAAACACAGTAGTTTTGAAATGATGATTCACCCCCGACCATTATCACAAGTGGCTTGTTGTAAGCATTTGATCTGTATGCCATGTCGAATGCAAAAACATCTCCAAATATTGCATAGTCACGGCGTGATACCCCATCTGACCAGAAAACTGTGTCTAACCTGTTCTCATCCCCAACATTAAATCGACAAAAGAAATCGTCATCCCTAATGGGAAGACAAGTTAGATATCCCAGCGCACCCTCACAATCTGTTTCTATTCCCGCCGCTCTACCACCGACTCCCGACTTGCTGTGCAGATTTTTCTTCTGAAACCGCGACCTTTCCCGCCCGCCGCTCCGTTGCACAACGTTTTCCAGGATACTAAACGTTCTTATCCCGACCCTCTCCATTGCAGGGACTCGCTGGCTTTTGCCTGTAACTGGAACTTGCTGCTTCTACCGCAAGAACTGAATCTCGGAAAGGGAAGCTAACTCATGGTTGTGATCAGGATTGAAGGAATTTACTATCCACATGTTTGTATGTCTATCTACTTTAACCTTTAATTCGGGACAAGCTTAGCTTCTTTCTTTCGGTTCTGCAAATTCAGCCACTTTTCACTTCTGAATCCTTCTCTTGAGCACACCCAGTGGCGCTGCCACTCGACTTTGTCCTTATCACGCCGAACATTTTCTTTCCTAACGGTGAAACCTTTCCACTTGGCGTAGGAGTAGTAGAAGATTTGCCAGTGCTTTACAGAAATCCAGTTTCTTGCCAACCACGTCTTCTACACCAATTTTATGCGGTGGCTAATCTATCTCAAGAAGCTCCGTAAGCCGCGATCAATCCAATTCCACATTTTCCGTCCTTTCCTGGTCATCAACTTGGGGTTGGGAATCCAACTCCATCAAATTTTGCATTTGTACCAACATCGATTTTGAAGTTATTTTTGTTTTTATTTTTTATATTTTTTAAGGGAAAAAAAATAAAAACAGAAGAGAAATGATAGTTTCACATAATTAGATAAAAAATAAAAATAAAAATAATTTTTTTAATTTAGTGGGGAATGAGATTAATTATTTTTTATTTTTTTATTTTTATTTTTTTTACTTGAAATAAAAATATTAATGAATTTTTTTATATTGAAAAAAAATTTCTGATAAAATTATAAAACGTATTTTTAAAAATAATTTTAAAAATGTTTTTATTTTTATTTTTATATAAAAAATAAAAATATTTTAAAACGAATTTTAAATGCACCATTAACATTTCGATTAACTGTTTATGTTTGATCGCCATAAAGTTGTAGTCATACGTTGATGTGTTTAACCAAAAAATAGTTTTTACGAATGAGATGGAGAAAATACCTGGAAATTTTCACCGAGAAGAAAGAAAACGGAAGTAGTCAACTATCTCCGGAACTGGGAGTGCGAAATGAGGAGAACTGCCAAGGCCATGTCAGGCCTATGATACGGTGTCGTTTTAATTTTTTTAAGCAACCAGTGCTCGGGTCGGGTCGCAAGTAACACATGACGTGTCGTGTCGCCAAGCACGCGCTCTGCGGATATCGGCTCGGGTCAAGAAGTCGGGTATTCTTTTAAACTGCCCTAGGGGGTGGTGTTTTTGCTGACTGATTTGCCTGTACTTTTGGTCCGGAAACGAGGAGAGTGAGTGAGAAGAGCAGCGAATCGCAAACATGACGGGTAAATTTGATTACGATTTTATTTTGATCTTGATTCAACCGTAATTCCATGGCATATCGCTTTCTCTGCTATGTTTGCTCTCTCAGTAATGGATGTTTTCCGTAGAAAAAAAAAAGTTTGTGAAAGTGGGATCAGATGGTTTAGTGCTGATTTTTGTTATGTTAATGATAATGATGCAGAATTCTGATTGATTGCAAGTAACACTTATGGACGTTAAGCTTAAAGTAAAAACCATACAATTGAAATTATTCGCAGTTCAAGATCACAACTTTATCATGGGAATGGTGATAATATTAATTTTGAACTAAATGGGTCTTGTATTTTTTTTTTTTTTTTTTTTTTTTTGCAGACTATGCACAAGAGCAGGAGATGGAACTTGAAGCATTGGAAGCCATACTTATGGATGATTTCAAAGGTATATTATTTGCACATATTAGCATAGATCGGTAGAATTCAAGTTGTTGTTATTGTCCTTCTCTTCAATAACTATATGTAATGAAGTACTATTTTTGTTTGGTCTTTCATCCCAGAAATTCACTCAGGAGAGAGTGGGTTGAATACTTCCAACAGGTGCTTTCAGATCATAGTGACTCCACAGGTATGGAATACATTTTTTTTTTCCTTAAACTAACTGGTACATAGTGTGATAAGCTTATAATGGTTGCGAAAAGTAATCATTGGGTTGTTTTAGCATTCCACTTTGCTTACAACGGTTAGGTAAAAGCTTAGCTGACTAGAATTAAACTTTGTCCTAGCTAATTATGTGAACCCTAGGACGAGATAAAGAATGTCCATGCGGAGCTTGAAGGGTTGAATTAAAAGTGTACAGTTGGGTATAAGTTAGAAATTTGTTTAAGGTTTTAACTTTTCTACATCATTTAAAGACTGCCAATCAGTTATTTCCCTTCTGCCACATGGCTTAAAATGACTGAAACTGTCCTTGATGTATCTTTCTGCTTTACGCTCAATAGGATGATGATGCAGAGTTTGAATCAACACTAGGTCAGTTACGTTACGGACTTCTGAATTTTTAAGGATTGTCTTGTTTGTTTTAGTTTTGGATCTTTAGACTTACTTTAACCTTTACAATTTTGAAAACGTCTGTTGCAGTTCAGTTGGGTTTGATTTTCTCGCACACTGAAAAATATCCTGATGAACCTCCGCTTTTAAATGTTAGAAGGTAAGCCCAACTGTTCACGTCAAGTTACTCTGTTGTTATTAGCTCTAAATACCCAGTTTTGAATGGAAAGACTTTGGCTTTCCCTGCTCGTTTGATAGGTGATAATTTTCAATTCAAAGTTGTGTAATTGGAGTATCGATACAATAGGGAAAAGTTTTGACTGCTTTTTGAAGTGAATTAAAGATGTGGGGGAACAACAATCCACTGTTCCTCACAACTCCAAATTACAGTGTCATGTTGATGATAACAATACCTTGCTCGCAGCTTTGTGTCATGTTGAATATTTGCTGATGAGATCTTATTTTGGTTCACCCAATGATGATTTTTTTTTCCTTGCTATCTTCAGTTTACGAGGAATACACACGGAAGATCTTAGAATATTAAAAGAGAAGCTTCAACAAGAGGTATCTTTTGCACACTTTAGCTCTGCTTGCGTTTAAAATTATACAGTTCATCTCACTTATTCAGAACATGCTTTCAAGGTTGAGACTTATAGTCCTCAGTAGCGTAAGTGTAGACTCTTGTGACCTTTTGTTAATTTACTTGAAGATTTTCATTTAAGTTGAACGTGATTGGTATTAGATAAAGAGTAATGTTAGCACAACTTTGATTGCAAAAAAAAAAAAAAAGAAAGAAAGAAAAGATGTGATGCTGTCCAAATAATGCTGATTCTTATTCCATTGTAACTTTTACAGGCATCTGAAAATCTTGGTATGGCTATGATCTACACTTTAGTTACATCAGCTAAGGAATTGCTTTCTGAACAATTTGGTCAGGACAGTAACACTGAAAATGTTGAAGCAGAAGAAGCAGAAAAGGAAGATGTATGGTTCTTTCTCCACCATCTTGATATCTCTTATTGTAGTGGCTGTGTATTTTATGAATTTCGAGTAAAGAGAGAATTTTGTTCCTGAGCTTTCCTTGAAGTGACAGACTATGCTGCCCAGGCTTTAATGCAATGGTTTCTAGTTCAGCGTGGCTCTTTCTACCTGTCCATAAAAGTTCAAAGCTTTCTTAGAAAATAATCCCCTCCCAGAATTTCAGGCTTTAAGAACCAAAAGCTGCTGTGTAAAATCCATGTGAAGTTGACGTGGAGTTACTTGCTTATGCTCGGTTATTTGTAGTCTGCATGTTTTCCATGGAAATAGAACTGAACATGGTTGTAAGTATTCCTATAATTCTTACTAACAGATTATGTGTCCTTCCTGTTATCTTTCAGATAGTTGTACCGCATGGAGAACCAGTGACTGTTGAAACATTCCTGGCATGGAGAGAGAAATTTGAAGCGGAGTTGGCGCTCGAACGTGCCAAGTAAGTCATATTATCATACATTTTCTTTCTATGTCTTGCTTTCCAAGATATTATGCTCTTCTCTGATTTAGATTACTGATGTTTCCCAACCGTACAACACTTGAGATCATCTCAAAGCACATCCACATTCAAACAATATTATTTATCATTTTACGAGTTCAATAATGACTTTTTCATGGCATGATAACTTTTTTTCCTTATAAAAGCTTGGAAATCCATTGTTAAGTGTGTGTGTGCGCGCGCGCGCGTATACTAGCATGGCAAAAGAAGTTGAATCTCATCTAACATTCTAAAAAATTAAATATATGCATCTATGCATTCAACAGTAAGGGTTATATGGCATTATAAATTTATTTTACGATGTCTTTGGCTGCCTGGAAACGTGGGAGAACTAGATAGCTAATATACTTTTGCTTTTCACCTTTACGTCTGTTAACATAAGATATGCTCCGATTTTTAGGTTAATGCCCGAGTCTGCTCTCACAGCACCTAAGGATAAGAAGCTAACAGGCAGACAGTGGTTTGAAAGTGGAAAAGCTGCTGCGGTACTTAACTTTTCCTTTAGACTTTGTACCTCCCTTCAACGTAGTCAAATAGTGCAGAAAATACTAATAATGACATCAACTTGGTAGTTAATCTGGAATCTTTAAGTTGTTTTGGTGGTACAAAGATAATCATTTTTAATCTATTTGAACCGTAATTGAGTCTGAAATGCTCTCTTTTGAAATGTAAAAATGAGAACAACTTCTTATAACTTGTGAGGAATGAGCAATAATAAACAGCCTGTCTCTTTCTTTTGCAGAAAGGTGCAGCCACAGTCAATGAAGGATCTGATGAAGAGGACGAGGAAGATATCGACTTCGATGATGATGATTTTGAAGGTGATTCTCTCACACCTTACCTACAAGTTCATTTTTGATGATATGAAAACTTAAATAAGCATATCAGTTAGCTTTTAAAATATGAATGTGGTTGATGAGCATCTTTGTTTGAAAATATTCGATGATGTAACAATCTCGTTCTTTTGTGTGATTGCAGATGACGAAGAAGATATGCTTGAGCACTATTTGGCTGAGAAATCAGACTCATCCTCACATTCTTTGAGGAGAGCCAACTAAATGAACGTTTGTGGAGCATTTGTTGGCCTTAAAAACTTGCACTCGTCCCTTTTTGGCATCAAGTCCTTGCTTGCACTTAGTGCGATAAACATATCTTTTAGGTGAAAGATGTAATTAGATAGGGGTGAGATGGATTGAGAGAGATAAAGTGTTGTAATTTGGAAACTTCGTTCATCAATTTAAGTATTTATTTTCCATGAGAAATACTATAAAAAAAGTTTTGTTACTGGATATGAACTTTTGAATTGCCTCCTTTAGTCTTTTTACGCTTTTAAGACAAGTTTAGTCCAGGTTTATAATCACAATGATCATATCCTGAAACATCCAAAATATGGTTCATTATGTGTTTACCTCACACTTACGCAAATGCTTCAAACTTCAGCTGCAGGAGTGTTGCTACACATTCATCCAATAAATGGTTAAAATTTTATTTCCAATCTTTTGAATAGTCGACAAGAGTACGATTAACACATTTTGCATCTCAATTGGGACAGATACAGACAATTCCGACCATTAATTTTTTTGGAGGCACTTCTGCAACCATTACAAAGACTACAAGAGTATAATCGCTACACAAATTTTCCTGCATAATGTGTTTATTTCAATTTCTCCTCCGCGAGCTATCCTCTTTTTCCATGCATAAGCCATTAAGATGCACATATGTTACAATGGAAGCTCCTATGACTTCAACTCGGATGAGCATAGTAGCACGGATCTCCAATCCATACAGAACAATTCCGGTAATGATCTGCACCTTGCAACCACCATACATTTGTCTCTCGGGAAGGAGGAACCATCTTTTGAATACCATTTAAGTAGTTTTACAACATCTTCTACACACATCCTTGATCAGTCATGGCTTGTGCAACAGTTAGGAAAGCAGAGATGACAGCTCCGTGTTCCAAAGCCCTAACAAGAAGTAAGCAAAACAGGGGGGAATAAGGAAAATTGGTCCTTTTGGGAGCAGAAGAAAAACTATGCGTGCAAATCTTCCCATGTTTCTGTAACTCATTAGTTCTAAAATTGCTTAACCACTGTATGGAATTTCACCTTAACAGCATAACTCCTCTAATGCATAGCAAAGTTGGAGTGAGGAGCAAAGATATTTGTTCTAAAGGGGGGTAAAAACAAAACAGAAAAAGAAAAGAGTACCCCTACCAGCTTCTAATAATGGCGCAACAAAAGTGGGAAAAGAAAAGGGCCTTCACTTTGGAAGGGATTCCTTGTCTGTATTTTGCTCCAAAAAGGAGAAAGGGCAACATAAATTGATCGAAGTGAATAAAGTACTTACTCAGGGCTCTCTTTCTGATAACCAAAATCAGTCGCAGCTTTGAGAGCTCTCTGGTAAGTCTGCTTCATTGCTTCCTGGAAGTTGGGACGTGAATTGAGAGTGGAATCATAAAATACATATACAAGCTCAAGTTCCGATTTATCAAAAATAACCAACCAAGAATTTTAATTTTCTATGATCACGTTTAGTTGAAACTCCCCATGACTAGTGATAAAGGATATTACTCACCTGCAACTTAGATTCAAAGTCCTCGGGTGACCAGTTCATCGAGTTACACTCGTGGTTTAACTCAAGTTCTCCAGCAACGACCTGAAGCCAAGGATATAATATTATACTAACTCAAAGACAACAGGTATAAACGAGAGCCGTACATATGAGGATGCATATCAATACAATTAAACTATCTTTGCTGATCCAACTGCCAAATTACTCGAAGAGTAACAAAGTTTATCACATGTTCTACCCATTATTTTGTGCATCTCGTAGTTCCATATAGAAACTTCCTTGTTTTCTTTTTTATTTGGCTCTCAACAAAGAAACTTTCTTAGTTGTCGTTGAATTTCGCAACATTTTACAATTAATCGGCTTGCCTTGTATTTAACAAATTTAACGTCAAATTTAACCAACACAAAAAGAAAAAAAAAAGAAAAAAAAGCACATTTCTGATTAAAAAAATAAATTATATAGGCATATATACATAATGAAAATCGCACCCCTCCAGCACCGGCAGCCATGGAAGGAGCAATAAGGACATTTGCTTTTCGCAGAACATCAACTGCTTCAGGAGTGCAGGGCATGTTTGAACCTAAAACATTCCCAACAAATCATAAGTTCATATTCATATTTATCTTCAGTAAATCAGGAAATAAATATCAACAAAAATAAAAGTATAAAATAAGGAAAAAAATACAGACACGCACGGCCAATGCACATTTATTGAAAATTCCTACCTTCTACTACTATACGACAACCTGAATTAACCAAATTAATGGCATCAGATTGATCGATTTCATTCTGTGAAGCACAAGGAAATGCAACATCACACCTCTCATTCCAAGGCTTTGCTTCATCATAATACTTGGACCGAGCATAAGTCTTTGAATAGTCTCTGCACATGCCACGTGTTAAAATAGTGGACCCCAAAAAGTAATAAAGCAATTTGGTATTTAATTGTTGCTAAGATGAGAGTCATAGATACACACCTTAAACTTCTCTGTTGAGCTTTAATATCTCTCAGAAAAGATATTTTCATATAATCGAATCCGTCCTCATCTACCAGATACCCTTTTGAATCTGTGCAATCGTTTTTGTTGACAAAAGATATCTACTTTTATAACTAAGAAAGAAAAATAAAAGCTTAACAAGATTATGGAAATTCTAAGTTCCTGAAATAAAACGGCAAATGCTTAACATATGTTAAGAGATTGAAAACAGTCTAAATTGTGCACATTTTGAACTTGTTACAAAAGAAATTTACCATAATAAATATTACATAAAACTAATCATGCTTGGAATAGAAGAGTTGTGCATCATACAAGCAGTCCATGATGCGATTAAATTTAATATGCCGAGATCATTGTTGAACACCACAAGTGTTTATCAAATCACTTGAGCTATACATACAACACGAATTTCACATGTAATTAATTAAACACCTACGAAGTCAAAAAAAAACAAAAAAACAAAAAAGAAAAAACTGACGGAACCATACAGATCAAGAATGAATCTTCTGAAAAAAACCAACTTTTACCCAGTTCAATAAGTTCTTACGAAAATTTACCAGACACTGTGATAGGAAGAGCACCATAAGCAATAAGCTTCTCCAGAACATGCATTGCAATTTTTCCAGAACCGCTTACGGCACATCTGGAGGTCAAATTCATAGAGAAGTACTTCAGTGCTCAGAAGCAATCACGAAATAATCATTGTCAAGCTATTGTTAAGTTCATGAGCTATATTTAGTAATTAAAAAAAACCCTCAGTTGACCATCCATGTAAAACATTACACATCGCACTTTTTTTTGGCATAACTGAGAATAAACATTGCTATATTAATTGAAAAGCTGGCAAGCATTCATATGTAAATCTAAACACATTGAGAACAGAATATTTGGTAATTTACATTCAGTGTGAGTGCGATCCAATGTTGCTAGACTGTGTAACTAGCTTCTAGAATCCTGTGAAAATCTTCTAAAAGTTCCAAGCAACAAACCTTAATCCTTTGAGTTCCTTATTCATGTCTGCAAGTATGAGCTGTGCAAAGAATACCTGCAGAGCATGTGAAACCTCATCAACTTCCACACTTCAAGATAAGATACAGATAACTCATCGAATCTGTTATTAGTTAGGACATCCATCATTATAGATAGTAAAACCTCATATATATGATATATGGGAGACACATAGAGAGGTAACACCAAAGAAACCTTAACCCCATCCCCACCCGCCACATACGAAGATCACCAGAGAATTGTGATAATAATTACCAGCCCATATCCAGTAGCTTCAGTTCGAAGGCTAGAGCCAGACCAAAATATCCTTGGCCCTGTAAAACTTCCCTGCATACGTAAGGCATACGTATGGAAACATAAAGACAAATCACTCTACAGATTCATGATGAACATTCATAAAGTAACTTACATAAAGACACGTGAATATAAATGGTAAAAACTACATACTTTGTTACAAGTATTTAGGTACCTGATAATGACCTGCTAACCGTCTATATTGTCCAAAAAGATATCCCATTTCCCTAGTGCCAACGCCCATTTCCTCAGAAGGAAGGTCCTGGATAATAAACAGAGAAAATTATATCTAATATGGACAATATTGACATCGATAGAGCATCAGAGCATTACTCAATTACCTTGTCAGGACCCAAATAGCGATAGATCTCATTCATGAAACTTTGGCAAAAACGCATAATCTGCCAGGGTACAAGATAATATTTCAGTATACCTGAGAAGGTTCTTGCACACACAAGTGCGCATTTTATAACTAAATAAACCACGACCTTGACATACAATATTGGATATTTTACCTCATTATCACTTTTCCCTTTTGGATCAAAATCACTTCCACCAGCTGCCCCTCCTATTTTGTATGGCGATAAGGCATTCTTTAAAGTCTGTGGACAAGAAAAAATCAGCACGTAGCAATCACAAAACTAGATTCATTCCCTATCTAAAAGGCTTGAGAGAAATCAAACTTCCAATAATCCCATTTCATTTAAGGGGGTCAGTTTAGAAATTGGAATATATAGGGTTCAGGCTTTCTACTCTATCTCGAAAGCAGTACTAGTACATTATAGGGTCCACACTAGATATTCAAAAATGAAATTCAACTTACAAGTAAGATGGGTACGTTGAGCAAATTCTTTACATAATGTACCAAACAATAGAAGAGAAGACAAATAAAAATACACTACCTGCTTAAATCCAAGGAACTTTGCAATACTCAAGTTCATTGATAGATGAAATCGCATACCACCTCTACATGGACCCAAGGCCTGATTAAATTGTACCCGAAATCCTCGGTTGACATGTGTCTCGCCTCTATCATCCACCCATGGAACTCGAAAGAGAATCATACGCTCAGGTTCTAACAAGCGCTCCATGATGTTGACATAACTGAAACATATCAGAGCCACTTTATTAGATTTCTTAAAACCCAGCAGTATCAATAAGGAAACAAAAAAAAGAGAATGAAAAAAAAAAGAGAATGAACCTTTTTTATAACCAAAGGGAACTTACTGAGAATTTTTGGCAATCACCCTTTCTAGGGCATGAACTACTACTTGCACTGATTGTATAAACTCAGGCTCATGAGGATCCCTTTTGAGTGCAGCTTCGACTATAGATCCAGCCGTCTTCGACATAAGAGCTACAGTTTAAAAGAATTCAAAACTCATTGAAAAAACGAGAACATAGACACTAAAATCTGCAACTACTAAAACCATAGTTTCAATTTATAAACCATTAACCTAAATGCTGAATTCAAAGATGAAAAACCACCGAAATAGCAGATCATATAGAAGAATATCTGAAAATTGAGGAGCACAAATGAAACTTTAGAAATTTAAATGCAACCCAAAAAACTACAGTACATGAGGTAATTTGCTAACCTTTTACATAAACGGGTTTGTCAACAATAATCTTATCCTTGGAGGCCATTTGAAGCCGAAGAGCCTCTTTGTGAAGTAAGCTATTGTTGTGCTCCTCCAATGCACTCATCTGCATATTCCGGCTGCCCTCATTTCCATAAGGGTTCCTTCTATGCTTCCTACCATACTCTCTACAAACGGAGCAAAAAATCCTCGCTGTCCCCTCCTTGACATCAACATAAGCCCATTTGTAGGTATCAGCCCACTCCTCTCTCCATCTTTTGACAACTTTCTTTTTCCTCTTTACGGGTTGTGTTTTCGACATATCTTGATCTTCGTTAGGGAGTTGAGACACCATTACTATATGCTTACTCTCGTCATGATCCTCAGCAGAAGGTTCTCGTGATGGGCCACCAATAAGAGGTGCGTTAGAAAACGAAGGATCGTCATCCCCAGGTCCAATTTCTAAATCGATCTCTTCTCCAATCTCCCTAACCACCAAGTGATGCCTCTGTGCGTGCTGAATCAAGTTCATATCATCCATCGCAGAATTCATCCCCAACCCACTGGCTGGTAGCAACATTCAGCATGACAGTCTTATGCACAAGTCACAACATGAACTCTGAAATATCTGTTAAACATCACATTGTCAACTTCTGTGGCTAAATTGTCCTAATTCAAACAGTCGATGAGAAATGAGTTCTTGAGAACGTGGTAGATAAACAAAAGCATAAATTCAATAAAACGCAACGTCATATATTATATTCCTTAGAACCAAATTGTTTTGAAACCCAACCAAATTGCATTACTACTTACCCAGCAGTTTCTCGGCAACTACTAGCAAATATACAGAACATAGTACACAAATCAAATCATGTAACAAATCAAAATATGCTTCAACTACTTAACATTTCACTACATGACACGAGTTCATCCTCCAAATAGAAACAGAAACAAAGCAAGATCCAACAATCAACCACCATGTTGTAACTCTATAAATATCCACAAAACTGCAAAACCCTCAAACTTCCCCGTTATCCTAATATTATCTCATCTTTCCATACGATTTAAGAATTCAGTCTACTTTAACATCCCTCGAACTGACAAGATAAGATGAACAAGAAATTCATAAATTTCACAATTATTGGTGGGAAATTAAACATTTCTCTTTGCCTAGTACAACAATTTGAGAACTTTCGACAACATTTAGAGGATTCTAGCAGCCAAAATAATAAGAGAAAACAGACTCAATTCTCGTCCAGTAAGTGCGCCTCAGGGAATCACCAATCCCAAACAAAACAAATATCAATGCGGGAAATCTTTCAATTACCCAAAACAACAATAAGAACACACTAGAAAATCAATATTTTTTTTCATAACCACGAGCTTTTATACAGGAGTCAAGAGCCCACAAGTACAATAGCAACAATTCTTCGGCTTTTCAACACAACCATGGTGTGGTCTTCGATTTTAACAATACCCAGAAGTTAAATTTCAATTTTGAAGTAAACCCAGAAGTTAAAATCAAGGAAGATGATCAAGTACCGTTGGATGGAAGAGAGAAAGATGACACACTATAATTGCAGTTTCAAAGTGGCTTTTAAAGCACTTGTTTTGCTCCAAAACTTAAAAAATGTAAGCATTTCCTAAAATTCTCGAAAGATAAACTGAGAAAGATCTCAATTTGGCCCTCTGATCAGATTCTTCAGTGAGGGAGATTGTAGATTAAGAAATAGAAACTTTTTTTTTTTCTTTTTGGCTGCGAGGTGGGTGAATTCCTCTAGTTGGACTAACTGCAATTGTTTTGTGCAATATCAGGGTAATTCTTTTCTATTATTATTATTTTTTTCTTTGGCCAAAAAAGATCGGCATACCATTCAAAAATAAGATCGGGTAATTTATGTAAATAAGTAAGCTTATTCATATTTTCTTGAAAAAATGTCGCTCCCATTAATATTCTATTCGGTTGACTTCTGAGGATTTAAATTTCTATTTTGACCTTGGATGCAAAATGCTCTATTTTTTTAGAGCAATTATAAGATAAGTTTTTTATTTTTTATTTTTCAATTTCTCTCAATATATCATTTTATTTTCGTACTCATTCAATATTATTTTTATTCTCAGGTTTTGTGATGCTGCATCATCTTTAAGAATGCTGTCTGCGTTGATTTAATTCTCCATTTATGGAATCTTATGCATTGACAATCATCCAAACTATGAAATAATCTAACTCTTTTGTAATGACTTGAGATTGTTATTGTCAGATGTACCTATTTTTTTAGAAGATAAATTATGCCATTTGTATAAAGAAATTGATAGGGCTGCTCGTATCTTGGCTGGTTATACTTTTAATATCGATAATTAACTATTTTGGTCAGAGAAAATTCCAACACTCATAAAATCTATTATTGTAACTGATACTTATTCTCATTAATAATAACAATTTTTATTCTTTAAAAAACAGTGAAAAGAATATTGTATATTAAATGTAACTATTTTGTGAAAATCTTAGTTATTTTGTGACTGGAATGTGATTCTCTTTGTGAAATTTTGAAAATTCATTAAAATGTTTGTGAGTCTGGAACTAAAATATTAAAAAACTTATTAATAATTCAGAGTAATTAAATATATATATATATATATATATAATACAGATAATTTAAAGGGCAATAGTGCTAATGATCTTTTTCTTTTCTTGAAGTGAATGATATTGAGCGGGCACTTCTTTTGGGAGAAAAATGTAGCGCCGTTATGTGTGTAAGGGTGTGCAAACCAATAAACCACTTATTGTGAGCGAAAAACAAATCAAACTAATTACAAATTAGTTTAGAGATTTTCAAATCAAACCAGATCAATTAAATGTTATAATCCAATCCAAATCAAATTGATTGTAATTGGTTTGGTTTTATTTTTTTAATTGATTTGTATTATATTTTGTATGATAGACATTTTTTATAATAGAAACTTTTATAGTTGTGATCATTTTAATATTAGCATAAACGTATTTTTTATATATATACATTACAGATCTATAAAATATATATATATATATGAATCGAATTGGTTTGGTTTAGTTTAGTTTTTTAAAGGTTAAAACCACAAACCAAATTAATTTAGTTGGTTTCTTAAAAATTTAAACCAAACCAAACTAATTATTAATTAATTTAGTTTGGTTTTCTTTTAGTTTGGTTTGGTTTAGTTGGTTTGAATAGTTTGTTGCACACTCCATGTGTGTGTATTTAATGGAAGTAACGCAGTTGGACTTAGAGTTCCGTTCGGATTACTGAGTTATAAAAATGAACTGAGATCTTTTCATGAATAAATTGGGGCGATATTGCTAAACAGATAACCATCTTCCTTTTTTTTTTTTTTTAGTAGGTTGGCAGTTGGCTACGAGAATAGCATTCAAACAAACCAACAATAAGACGTAAAAACGATAAACATCAGGTTGATCTTATAAAATAAAATTAAATATAATATTAGTGACTCTATAGAGAGCACAATTATAAAAGGTCTGTTTATTTCGTAAATTCGAGTTTTTAATTTAAATTGAAATGTGATTTTATATGAAATTTTTTTACTGTAATAAAAATAATAAATATAACTATTTTTAAAATTTTTTTACTGTAACAAAATTCGAATCGGTAAAATGAACAGAATGAGTTGAATAAAACCCCCCACGGGGCTAATCAACATTTTTTTGGTATCACTGCACAATAATTATAATAACATAAAATAAAGAAAAAAAAATCTGTAATTGTACTTGTTAGCAGACAAAATTATCAGCATGACTCACATTCCAAAAGATAAATAATTACTACAAACAATCCTGTTTCCCCAGTCCCCTCCTCACCCGCTCTTGACTGCCCAAAATAGATAGACAAGTGTGGAAAAAACACCATTCGGCAAAAAATAAAAATGTTAGAGTAGAACCCAAAAAAAAAAAAAAAAAAAAAAACAAAAGAAAACAAAAAAAAAAGGATCAAGCTAACAAAAACAAAACGCCTGACCTGAATGTACAATATAAATATACAAAGGAAGAAATTTGAATATACATATTTATGGGTATACCATCTCTGGGGCTGAACGATGTGCAAATCCATGCTTACCAAGGTTGGAACCAACCTTACATGAGATTAGATTATCTCTTCAATCTCTTGAATAAGAAAGTGCGAAATCTTTAATCCTTTGCTTAAGGTGCTGCAATGAGATTGGGATGAAGGATATACATGATCAATTGCATGAAAATTAATAACCAATCTAACAGAAAAACGTGCAAGTGTTGACAAGTCAAAAAGTGAGGGTCGATAGAATAATCACCTTCAATTCTTCATGAAGCACCACAAATATTTTCTTCAGCCTCTTGTGTCTCTGCATGTTCATTTAAAGAGAATGTAATTTTCAGTTTGGCCTGCTGATAATCACAACAGTATTTTACAGTTTTCATGCTAAATAGCATCCTTAACAGAACCATTTGGCAATTCATTCGTAAAATAGGACACAAATACAATAGGGAATCTAGAGTAAGGCATACCGTTCCACATTGACGATAGGATTCCTTCAGCTGCTCCAAGACGTTATTATATCTCTCCATATCTCTGCCTTTAGCATGCTCAAGGTCCTTTCCCAGTTTCTGAAACTCCTTCCTACATTTTCATACGTGTTCTTTTGCTTTAATATACATCAAATCCAAGGAATAAAAACGTCAAGGAAACCAAGTAATTCAATAAGTTCAAAGCATGTTTCGTTAATGTTTTATTTCTCTTGCCTGTAACTCTCTAGGATCTTGTTGAGGGAGCAGTATGAATCATACTTATCGTGATACTCCTGCACGTATTCTTTGTACCTAAAAGAGAAGGGTAAAACAATAGGTTATTTATATGCTACAAAACCAGGAGTAAATATAACAGAAAACCTTTCCCAACTTTAACTTATGTACTTACTGAGAAAGATCCTTTATTGGGCCCTTGATATCTGGCTCATCCTTTTCATACTTAGAATAGGAGCAACTATTTTCGTCAGAGGAGGAATCCCTTCTCTTTCGCTCACTGTTGTTGCCTTCTGCCAAAAGTGACTCAGTGCGGCCATCAGGTAACTCCGCCACTGTACTAGTCGTGAATCTTTTTCTTTCTTTCGTCTTCATGGAGTGGGAAACTGGTTCTCGTCTGGTATCATGTAGCTGAGGGGCGGGTGCTTTCTTGTTGCTTTCTCCATAGCCTTCAGGAGCACTCCCCAGTCTGACTCCACCTTCATTTTGACGAGCACCATTTGTCTCTGCCAAATTGCTGGACTGAAACCCAAACTCAACATTATCTAGTCTCGAATGTGATTGAGATTGCATAACCTTATGTTGAGACCATGTTAAATCTTCAACACAGTCTTCTTGTTTCCTCTTTTTATTTGAGCCTTCCAAATTGCTGGGACCCTTGGTGTTTGGGTCAGGTGAAGACGACTTTCCCAAATCTAAAGTTGCCTTTTCAGCAGGCTTCCCTTTAATCATATCCAAATTCCAGTTATCTGAACTGTCCGGTTTGTTCTCCGATTGTTTAAATGAACTTTTTCTTTCAAATTGCTTTTTAACAGGTGCTTCCTCTGGAAGGGGCTCACGAAGTTCACCCAACTCCAAGTCTGAATACTCTCTTTGGAGTCTATTGCCTCTCCCATTAAGAGCAGGGGATTTATCTACACCAGCTCTACTGTGATCCTTTGGTGAAGTACTGAGGAAGGAGCCGGAAACCTGTCCAGCATTCTTGAACTTTCCAACTACTTCACCATGTTTCTTGTAGTGTGAATCAAAGGGAACTGACTGTTTGCCCCTCACACCACCTTCCCTGGGATTTTTTGGAACCCTTTTCTCATTAGCATAACCACCCTCATATTTGGCATCTGTAAGAAATTTAGCCTTTTGCGAAGGTAAACCTTCATGCACATGAGAGCTCTTTTCAGAATATTTACGGCCATGTCCCAAGCTTTCAGCATAACTATGCATTCTCTCTGATGTATCAGGAATCTTCGAAGGAGCACTTTGTTCAAATAACCTTGTACCTGAGTGTTGAACATCTGCACTAGATTTTCCAGAAAACAATTGGTTATTTCCTTTCTGTATGGTGAGCTCACCGTCACCATCCCTATCAACTCCATTTATAGCTTGAATGATGGGGTCCCTATTGGGATCTTCAATGAGTCTGTTAGAAGGCAATCTATGAGAACTTTCCTGGAACTGGACATCCCTGCCTCCAGAAACAGGAGCCTGGCTTGAGGCATCTGTTTTGGACCTTTTTGCATACTCAGATTTATCATCTGAACGTTTTACCTCCATGCCCCTTTTGTATTTTCCTTTAGATATCTTCTCAGAGCTATTAGAGTGTTCATACCTGGAGCCAACTCTAACAGCATCGTCCCCTTCATCAAACAAACTTCCTATAAAATTTTGGCGCTCTTGGAGCTTATCTCGATCAGGTGAAAAAGTACTGGTCTTTTCCATAGGTTTCTCAAAATCTTTGTGAGCAGAAGTACCAATTTCAGTTTCCCGTTTATTACCATCAGGAACATCATTCTCAATCTCAACAAGATCCAATTCATGATCATCCTGCTTCTCCTCATTGCCACCCTGCACAGGCTTGCCATCAGGACTTCCCCATTGAACAGGTGATCTTGAGAATGCTGGTTTAGATTGCAACTTATGCTTGGGTTCCTTGTCATCATCACTTGTCATAATATCCACATCCACATCTGAACCCTCCTTGCTGTTGGAAGATGCATCACTGTCACTATCACTACTACTCCCACTCACCGGGCTTCTACTTCTACTTCTGCTTCTACTAGGGCTTCCACTACCACTATCACTATCGCTGCTGTCACTTTCACTATCACTGTCACTTCCGCTATCGCTAGAACTCCCAGCATGCCCTTCACTATTGTCAGAGACCTTTTTTTCACCAAACAGATCAGGTGAATGTTGTTGGATATCAATTTTTTCCAATGCACTGGGCTCTTCTCCATGGTTAGAGTTCAACTGTCCCTGTTCCTCAAATTCATTAGAAGGGGCTCTCTCTTTAAGATCCAGTTCCGGAGCGTTTATCTGATCACGATTGTCTTCTGCAGCGGCTGTCTGATGAAGATTCTCTTCTGGAGAACTGGAATATATATAACACGTCAAAAGTAAATTCAGGATCAGGAATCCACCATTCATAGGATTATAGAGAACCATATTTGACCAATTTATGCACAATATCAAACAAAAATGCAGTCAAAGATATTAATTTTTACATCCACTAACAAATGGTAATTTGAGTTCATCTTTTCTTATCCCAGCTAGATGGTTACTTCAAAGAGAAAAGAAATGCTTAAGTCTCCAAACAGTACATTTAGTTGAATTTCTATAAAACTTGCAAGCTTGAAGAATCCTATAAGCAAAGAAAACAGTAACATAATAAAATAAAAGTCATACACCCAAATTTGAAATCAAAGAGTATATAACTACTAAGAACTGTTGGAGATTTTGTCAATTATGTGTAAATATTTATTCTTTCTGTTTATTGTATGATTTAGTCAAAATAGGAAAGTATAAATTAGGAAGATATTGTAGGATTGTCTAGCGTAATTTAGGGATTCTTTCCTTAACTTTCTCTCTTAATTGCCGTGACCAATGGCTTACTAAGTGTATATATTCTGACAAGGTTAATGAGAATTATGTAGCAAGAATTATTATTCTCTCTGTTTCTCTTGTTTCAAGAACCAACACCAAAAGAAGCCTATATACCTTTCGCTTTCAGATGAGCGTTTCGTGAAGCTTTCTGTGTCCAGTCCAGGTTTCAAGAGATATTTTCCTGGCGCTTGGAAAGTTGCAATCTGATGTCAAGATTTAATGGGAATGCATAAGAGTCAGACCACTTGATCTTCTATTGAAATAACCATATCAGAACGTTTGTTCACTTACTTTCTTCATTATGGCCTCAATTTGCTTTCCAGAGTTGGGAATTGAATCTCCAACGGCTTTTTCCAAAGTCTACAAATAATATAAAGAAAGAAAGAGTTAAACTACATGAGTTGACAAAACCAAATGCTTGAAAACAGACAAAGTAACTTGAGCTAAATACTCTTTCAAGTGATTGAAACAATTTCAGATTGGACAGTGTACTTTTAGCATATAATACAGATATAGTGAACACCAGATTATTATTTGCCAGCCCACCTTCATGCTCATCCCCTTCGGATTTTCCCTAAGCAGATTAATCAAGATACTCTGCAAATCCGTTGGTTTAGCTCCAATATTGCTCTTACGTCCTGTTGCTTCACGTACTAGAGTAGTAGCCTTGGCTGGGATTTCTTTGTCGGAGCTAGCAGCAGCTTTGTCTTTACCGATCACTTGATTTATGACATCGTCTACACTTCCATGACTCTTGGAAATATTTACATTTCTTAATGGAGATGTTGAAGGTCTGGATTGCTCAGGTGGAGATGGAACTGGAGATGATGCGTGTCTGCTCTTGACAGTAGTTGTTGATGATATTCCAGATTTATATGCAGATTTAGGGTGACCTCCTACTGCCCATAGTGCAACTCATCATGGTCATAATTCAAATAACGAGACTACTATAAAGCAATGAAAATAACAAGTACAAAAAATAAAAATAAAAAATAAATCCAAACAATAAAACTAGACTTTTGGTGGCACGAGACACTATGTCATTGGAATTTGGATGTACCAATGTAAAAAATGTAGGGCATGTTGAAAATATACTAGAGGAACTGGAAATCTCTAAAACCATCACTGACCTTGAGGTGGTTCGATTTTCCTTTTCTTAGGTGGTGGCTCTTTCTTCTGTTTGAAATGCTTCCATGGATTAGCTAGAAAGAAGAAAGATATCAAATAATCACCCAGATCAAAATGTTTGATTCTTAACAATCATGCATAAATAATTGAATAATGTACTTCAAAAGATAAGCACATTTCTGCCGAAGAAGCAAGACATCTTTTAGTACAAATGAAGAGGACGAGAAGGCTCAAAAACTACTATCTGGAAAACTACAACATAAACAATTATCAAAATTCTAGGGGTCGTGCTCAATCCACCCAAAGATACACAAGCAAAAGAGGCTCACAGTGAAGCCATATATTCTACCATTTCCCAAAGAGAACTTAATATTCATCCTCATGACCTACAATGACCAAAAAAAAAAAAACAGAGAGAGAGAGAGCATGGCAACAATAGCTAATTAGGACAGTGCAGATATTGTCATCTAGATTGTCTCCTAGCTAGAAAGCCTTTTAAAACATTTTCATATAAAAATTTTAAGGGCAAATAATCATTAAAAGACATGAGGGACCTAAGCGACCGGCCAAGTCCGCAACAGTCAAATACAGTGAAAAAGAGAAAAACAAAAGTACCATATCAAAACTAGAAACTTACTCTCAACAGCAGCTAACTGCTTTATTTGACTCTTCATAGATGGATTCCCGGGCTCTAACACAATGGCTCTGTGTTCATGACGTACAACAATGTCACATTACATTAACAAAAGGATGATGACAGCTAAACGAGATAGAAAGTACCAATTCATGACAACCAAAACTTACTGGCGCAATTCTTTCTTGCGCTCGGCTTCCTCTGAAAGCTTTTTAACACGGCTTGTGGTAGACTCATCCAAGATACGCTGCATATTTAGCTTGCGCCATGCACTACCGGATTCGACAAGCAAACCATTACCATCTTCACCGCTTTGACCTTCTTCGTATATATCTGATAGATCACCATTCTCTTGCGACCATCTGAATCTGAACTCCTTGCCACCAACATCAATAACCTGATGCAATACAGAACATTCGGAATCACAAGTTTCAAACATAAACTATATCCTGTTAAAATTGCTAAAAGAAAGTTCAATAACAACTGAAAAGGCACAAGATGCAACAATAACTCAAAAAAACCAGCTTAACTAACAGAGAATATGAGAAACAAAGTATGAATTGAATGATTTCCTCCCAAGGAAAGATCATATAGCCAAAACAAATTATATAAGTTTGCGATAAGTTCTTCCAAGTAAGCAATTGAAAAGCAAGAAAAAACAAACCAAAGCAATTGCAAACAAACTCATGAAGAATTGAACAATGCACAATCAAAATTCAATCAGAATTGAATTTTTATGTAAAAGAAACACAATTTGCAAATAGTCGTACATCCTCAATTACCCAAAGAATGAATAACAATCAATCAGTACCAAAAAGAAATCCAATTAAACAGGAAGAAAGAACTTACATTTCCATTGGAATTATTGGAATCGAATTTGATACGGGTGGTCCGACCCTGGGCTTCGAGGCGTCTGATTTCGTCGACCAAATCCGGCGCCAGCCTGATGATCATTGCAAAGGCTAGCGGATTATTGCCTGACACCAAGCTGAACGTCTCTTCCGTGCCCGGCGCCGCCGCCGGAGCCTTCAGTCCCGACACGCGGCTTCGAGGATTGGCGGATGAGCCGGAGCCGCCAAGGGGGAGGCGGCTGGCGCCGCCGGGGGCAGAGGGACGGTGGGGTGGCATCATAGGAAAGGACGAGCTAAGGCGCTTGGCTCCGGCTCCACGGCCGGCGCCGCCGCCGCCGCCACGGCCGAGCTTGGAGGAGCCTCCGTACATCGGTGAGGTTATAGGGCGGAGGCGGGGGAACCAGAGAAGAGAGAAGTGGCGTTGAAGGGGCGCTTTTGAGTCCCGACAGAACCCACCAATTATACAACTGGTTTCTTTTTTCTTTCTTTTTTTTTTTTTTTTTTTTTTTTTTTTTTTTTTTTTTTTTTTTTTTTATGTCGTTTAGTATGAATTTGTTTATATTTTGTTAATTTCTTCGAATTTCTTTTGTTTTTCTTCTCGACAAGTAACGATATAGTTCTTTTCAAAAAAATTCAAAAAAAGCAATTATATTTTTTTCCCTCTCAACGAAAAACACTCCAGAGCGTTTGATCGAATTGAAAATGTTTTGCTGAAAGCCTAATTCAATATGATTGTTTCACGACAAATATGAAAAAAAAAAAAAAAAAAAAAAAAAAAAAAAAAAAAAAAATGTTTGTTTCATGAGAAAGATAGTTTTTTTCCCCTTCAAATTAGAATATGATGGTCGTTAGATTGTTGGGAAACTAAACCTGAGATTAATCCGCATCTAATACTAAAAACAAAATCATAAGTATTTAAAACTTTAAATAAACTTACATTGGGATAAGCTGATTCATAAATTACAAAAGAAAATTTAGATAATTGTAAACCTAATGCGTAAAAAGAATTGCTCGTTTGAGTGTAACGAAAATAATTTTTTTTAAAAAAGGACTTGGATCATTTGTTTTTTCACTTTTCTTTAGAATTTGAAAAAAGGTAATTTGTTTTTCTTAAACTTTAAAATGTTAATAAATATATATGTTTTGTCCCTTAAATAATAATAACAAAAAACCCTAAATCACACTAAATTTAAAGTAATAAATTTCAATAATCTCCCTAACTTTAGATCATTTTTTCTTACTTATCCCTCAATTGTAAAACATTGACATATTTGCTCTAAATTAAAATGAATTACTTCTATGGTACATTATTAAAACCTAATTTAAACTAAAACGAATTACTTCTATGGTACATTATTAAAACCTAATTTAAACTAAAACGTCTGGCTCTGTTTCATTTCACATCTCAAATCACAACTCAAACTTTTTACTACAATATTTTTTTTCATAAAAATTTAAATTTAACTTTTTTGTTATAATTTGTTTTCTCATATAAATTCATTTTTCAACTCTAAGTTATCAACTTAAACATGCGAAACGAAAGGGTTTTGTTGTGGGTGTGACCGCTCACCTAATTTTTCAAGTGGTCTACTCAATTTACTAGCAAACTTCCTTGACACAAAAGAATGGGTAGCACCAAAATCTACTAATGTCATTGCAGAGGTTTTGTCAAAAGAGAGCTGACTCGTCACCACATCTGAAGGGCCTGCTTCTACTTCACCTCGAGTGAGGGAAAAGACTCGAGCATTGGTCTACTTCCATGGCTCCTCGTTTCTAGGCTGGCTGTTGTTAGTAGGGCATTCTCTTGCAAAGTGCCCTGGCTTTCCTCAAGTATAGCAGACATTCATTCCGGCTTTGCATTCCCAGAGATGATTTTTGCCACACTTGTTGCACGATAGTGCTTGATGTTTTGGCTCCTTCCTTTCTTGTTGTTATTGTTGTTAGAATTCCAGTTGCCTGGTCTTTTCCGTTCGTTTCTTCGTTGGTTGAAGTTTCCAGGATTCCTCTTGTTATCTTGTTGGCTCGTCGGATGGAAGGAATCGGACTTCCTTTGTCTGTTGGCTTCAAAATCTCTCTCATTTTGCTTTGTTGTCTTAGCCCTTTCGATCTTCAAGGCTTTCTCAACAACCTTTGAAAATGAAGCGCCGTCCAAGTCTGCCACTACTAAGTCCTTGTAGATGTTGGGGTTGATGACGTTTAGAAAGTGTTGAGTTTTTAACTCGTCTATGGCCACCATATGAGGCGCATATCAAGATAGCTCCTCAAATTTTCGGAGACATTCCTCCATAGTCATCTTTCTTTACTTCAGGTATAAGAATTTCAGAGCCTTCTCGTCTTTTAGAGCCCTGGTGAAATATTTTTCTTCTAACAGTTGTCGAAACTGCTCCCAAGTCTTCGTCCTTTCATCATGCATCGTCTTCATGGATAACCACCATTCACTTGGATCATCTCTTAGAAGACAGAGTGCACAAGAGACTTTATCTACATCGGAACTCTTGCGCAGTTAATAAATGTCCTCTCTATAGTCGTCAGCCAGGTTTCCGCCTTATTCGGGTTAGTACATCCCACAAACTCTGGTGGATTGAACTTCATGAATCTTTCAGTGGAGCGGAATGGTACGCCGCTCCTTTCTTCATGTGCAGCAGGCAGTGGTTCATGCGGTTGTTGTTGCGGTTGCACCGGCTATTGCTCCGGTCTACTTTGTTGATCCATAAGCGCTTGCAGAAGTGCACCTTGTTGTTCTATCACTTTGACGAATTCATCAATTGTCCTAGGGTTCTGTGTGGATGCCGCATCAATAGATGTCTGTCCTTCCAATATGGTATTCTTTCTAAAATCCTAGATTATAAGAGACATAAATAATATATAAATGGATAGATAAATATTCTATCTATATCGTTATAGGAAATAGTCTATCTACTCCTGTCATCTCATTATCATAGGTTCAATCCTAAAACTTACTGATGAGCTATACCTTCAACTTCATGTTTTGTTACATATGGGGTTATCTACAAATCCCACCTTGCTCTTATACCTTCACCAATATAATACAATAGTTGATAACACGTACTACACAAAAATCCGAATAAATTTAAACTTTTATTACATAACATTCTTCATAAAATTCCACATCATAAAGTCTTAAATACACACTCGTAATTATTTAAAATATAATGGTGCCCTCTTTTAAACTTTTCTCCCAGTAGGTCGGTTCCATATGTACTAACACGTCAGCTTGGCACCTCGTTCATTCTCCAGTTTAATTCAATGTACTTTTTCCCTTACCTACAACACAAGTATAAATAAACTGATGAGCTAACGCTCAATAGGTAAAGTCATTATCTCACATGAAAGTTAAAACTCATTTATGCTCATACTTTGCTTCATTCTTTTTGTTCATCTTAGGACTCTGGAGAATACTGTCCGAGTAAACTTTAACTTCTTTAATTGCTAGCTATTGGCTTCATAACTTCCGTTGAGCTCTGCGCTCCTATGAAGGCACCTGAAATAATTTTTGAATGATTACTTAGGCAGCATCTCTTATTATTTTTCAACTTTAAAGTGAATACAATGCTTCAACATAGCATATATAAAGATATTGCCTGAGAAGTTATAACTAGAATATAGCAAGTATAAACGTACTGAAAATAATTTTCAATATATTTTAACTTGTGTTGTAGGTGAGAGTTTCACTTACCTCGTCTCAGCTTCCTGTAGGAAAATATACTCCTAACTAATATAATAACAATCACAATACTATATCAGTAACCAAAATATAATACTAACATAATAACTAAACATATGGTACTACTATTCCATTTTTACTTCACTTTCAAGTCCATAAATTTGCCTAGTCATGTTGTCCACTAGGTCCAATCATTTGGTCCTTCGGTCATTTATCTAGAGTGTGTAAAGTTCACATATACGATATTCATGGGTATAGTGCGGTATGGTTCATGCATACGGTGTAATGACCGAGAAAATCTCAGAATTAAATAATATAATTTATGCGTTTAAGTCAAGGATTTTTCTGGAGAATATCATGTTATATTTTATGACTAAAGAATTTATGGAATTAATATTAGTATTCCTAAATTATGTACCAAATTTTATGTTAAGTTCATATTTTATGATCAAGTATATCCGGTCGATAAATTCTCACTGCAATTTAAGGCGGAAGAATTTTCAGTACATATACAATTTGAGAATCTTAATTTTAAGAATCTTCAAGCACAGTACGGTATTACAGCGTACCGAGAAATGCTTTGACATTCAAAAGAAATCCTTAATTGCCGAACAGATAAGTTGAAGTCATGAGGATAATGTCTTTTAGTAGAAGGATACAATATGAGCTCGGGAGTCGACACTGTCCGTGATAATGTCATTTTCGGGACATAATGCAGAAAAGTTAAGTTTAGAATTTATTTAGTCTAGAAATAAATTCAAGACTCGAAATAGTCCGAAATATTACGCAAGTAAGAATTTAATTTGATATTGAATTATTCAGGGATTAATATTGAACTATAAATAAACAGTAGAAAAGGAACCGTCGGGAACTAAAATTTCCTTTCGGCTAAGTTAATCTGCTACAATCAGTGTAAGTTTTGACTTCTTAATGGAGTCTTAGGGAGATAAGATCAAAGACAAGATGAGATGTGATTAGATGATGGTAAGTGAAGAGTAATCATGATATTCTTTTTTTTCTCTCTTTTCTCTCCTAGTGGCATGCCATGCTTAAGGGGGTTTTAAGTAAATTTTGCTTAATGAAGTTGGACTAGAAGATTAAATAAAAAGATAAAACCAAATCACCACTTTATTGGAAGGCACTTTTTACTTCTCTTCAAAAAGACACCAACCGGCCATATCATAGTTTCTCTCAAGTCTCTTTCTTCCATTCTCTTTATGCCAAACCAATTCCTCCATAACTCCAAGTTTTCAAAATTTTCTCTATTCTCCCTCACCAAAACCGAGCCTCTCTCTAGCTTGCATACTCTCAAAAGTTTCCACCTTTCTCACCACAAATTTTAGTTTAAGTTGAAGGAGAAGATGAGGATTTCAAGGAGTTTTCAAAAGAGTTCTTCAAGGCTAATTTCTTTAACTCTCCTCCATTATTTTTCTAGCCAACCTTGAGCTTAAATTTATGGATGTAATTTGTGGTTCCTTGAGATTGTGGTTTGTAATAAGGGTGTGTGAGTTTTATGTTGATTTTATGTGTTTTGGGGTTAGTTTGATTAGTATTATGTGGTATGTTTATGCTTAGTTTAAGTTTGCTTATTTTAGTTAGAGGTGAAATTTTCCGGTTTCTTTGAACGCGAAAATGAGGATCCTAGAATAAGATTTTTCTGTTACTCTCAGTTTGAACTCATGGTTCTCGATGTTTTAAACATTTCTCTGTGACTGTGAATAAACCCAGTTTTAACTATAAATACAAATTTTAAGCCATTTTCAATAATGCCTTATAGCTGTCCAAAACAG